CGCGATGTGACTGTGTCACAGTTGCAACACCACGCTAAGTGTTAAAAGCCCAGCTGGGAACAAGACGCTGGTAGAGACCACTGATACTCAAAACTGGAGATGTGCTCACATCAGAGAACAAATGTGCTGTAACTGCACAATGGCCAACATGACATTAGGTTTACCAGTAAAAATAATAATAATAGTATTGGGTGCAACAAATGATTGGCTGATGTATCAGTTCCAATATGAACTGATTAATAGTTTAACCTATAAAATGTTAAAAGAACAGTTAAACAGGGCCATGCCAGCTCCCAAATGGTTTGGTTTGTCCAACCAACAGTTCACAAACCAAACATGTCAAATTTACTGTGAAAGAAAACTGAAAAGAAAAAAAAAAAACCCCAGTAAAGTTCTACATTTGAGAAGCTGGAGTCAGAACTGGTTTTGCATTATTCTTGATTATTGATTACTACTGCCCTGGTTTGAAAAAGGGGCAACCAAACCCAGCATTAGGCTTCTCTCAGACACATCCTACCATATAGTACCCTTGAAGACTTGGACATGAGAGTGTTTAGTCAGTCACCGCCTTGTGTCTGTGGTGCTCTTACTTGATAACTGAGGGGAGCCTCTGTGTATACACATGGAACGATGGCATGTTTACCCCACGTACCTGATGTAGGTTGAAATCACAGAAACATTTCTGAGGCTGCAAACTTTAAAAACTGAGCCTGGTTTCTGTCTGTTTACTGTTCTGATGCTCTCAGCTCAGCTACTGACTGTCCATGTAGCTGACTAGAGAACCGGCAGGAGAGCCACCCCGTCTGCACTGGGATTTTATAACTGAACTTTGACCAGGACGTACACATTTAGTTTCCCTGACTGTGGAAATCTCATATTTTCACCTCAAAAATGGTGAACATGAAGAGAAGACATTAAAATGTGACTCATTTAGGCACAGTAGATGTAACCTAGTGGCTGCATGGAAGGTGGAAAACATGCTAATTTCTAAGAAACCTGAAGCATGGTTTGTAAAATGACTAAATGTGATGGAAAGTTTACATGCGTTATGCAAAACTGGTATGGCCCTCTGCAACACCAAACTGGTGACTGAGTCTATTCAAATGAAAAATGCAAGACATTTGAAAAAGTGACGGCAACAGTTTCATCAAGAAAAACATGTTTTTGATCATTGACTCATATCTGAAACTTCAGACTGTGATGAGTTTCATGCGTATTTGTAAAATCATCTTAGTGAGATCAAGCACTGCCGTCTCTCCCACCAGCTCCTCCCCTTCTATCCTTCCTTCATTCAGCCATTCAAAGCTGGACAGTTTGCTTCAACACCCTCTCGTCTTGTTCCTGCCAGCCCATCTCCCTCCCCTCACTCACTGCCTGTCGTGTAGTAAAATCAGACGCTTGTCTTCTCTCTTCCCGCTCTCTTTAATGACAAGTTCGAACAAGGCAGCCTCCTACACAACATCACTGTTCATCAGAGAGCAGAAATTCCTGACAGACTTAGAATCTTCTCAAGTCTAACAAACATCAGTCAGTGCTTTTCGGCCTCTTCTCTTCTTTTGCTGCCAACATCAGACTGAGATTTGCTGGACAGAACTGGTGTAAGTGGAAATCACACAGCTCATTAGATGTGCTGTTACCTGTTGAAGGCCAGCTGCATTGATGGCAAGTGCAAGGCAAAAGGGTTTAGCTGATTTGTTTACTCTGGAAGATGCACTGGATTACATCATCAGAACTGTAATCTGATTGGTGTTGATGTTCCTATAACTGATTATCCTCTCCTGAATCATACTATCTGTTATTATTCATTTGCTGAACACATTACACACAACATTTCCTGTTTAAGGTGTTTGCTGGTGAAATAAATGTGCTTAAGCATTCACTCAGGATTGAAGGAAACATTTCTACTGTGGAAACCATCTCAGTGTTTTCACAATGTGTTTGTTGTAAATTGCTGAAGTGCTCAGAGCCACGTGCACAGAGAGCGAGAGCCTGAATGCTGTCATGTCAACCAGCTCTGAGCCTTTGGAGCACTTTACACAATCCATCACACAAGTATTTCCATACTGTCCTTCACAACTGCTGGAATAATGAGCTTAAATTTCTGAAAGGTGAAATCACTGTTACCACAGTGTGGATGTGTCTGAGTGTGCTCAGAGTACTTGGAACTGGCTCGGCGGGTATTATTTACTGTCGACGGTGACTGTTGACAGGCCTTGTACAGGCTTGCAGGAGAACAGTGACACTTTGAGTCTGAAGCGTTTTCTTTAACCAGGTACTTGTCACAACTTGGCTCTAGCTTTCTGTTCATGGGCGCTGGTTAGGTAAACTACAGACCCAGTCATGGTGTCGTAAACCTTTCAGCTTTTGCATGATGAGCTAAGTACTTGGCAAAAGACAAGACAGTCCCATAACTCAAAAAGATGTGGCGTCACTTGATTTAACATGGATAATGAGCTTATTGTCTGGACTGCTGTGGAGCCACTCTGTGAGTTTGTCTGTACTAACAGACAGGAGAAGTTTAAAGGAGTGAGCAAAGTGTGATCAGATGAGAGGGGATACAGAGAAGGCTGTGAGAGCAGCTGTCAGAGAAGCATTCAGGTGCTGCAGTGCTTTCAGTCAGACCTCTGGAAACCTTATCTCAGTCTACTACCTCAAATGACAACATTAAAAGAACACACTGGGAATAGTTGCAAATGAATTACTCCACAACTGATCAGTCCTGGGCCTGGGAACCTCAGCTCCAAAGGTTTGACAAATGGTTGTAAGTGCTTTGATAATTTGCAGGTTTGTCGCCATTTAAATGAAATATTCCCTAACATGGGCTCAACACTGGAAGCTGATCAGGTGGCCTTGTCTCACAGTGTCAAAAGCTAATGCTGCAAATATGGAGCATAGTCCAAAACAACAGAGCACCAGAAACAACTATTTGCCTGCATGTTCCTCATGGTTTATTCTGAAAGGCTCAAGTGTTGTGAATGTAGTATTTTTCAGGTTGAGATCACTGCAAATGCATTTTTAGGACTTGATAAGACAATGCTAGGTCTCTGGGTAATTGTGCTCAGACAAAATAATAAGTATGCTTTTAAAAACTGTTATTTCCGCCGTGGCATCTTCAGCCACTCAGAGAGCTGAGACTTCCTCCAGCAGCAGCACCACTGTGCGCTTCAGGCTGTCACACGACTCACACCGCTGCTCTTACCCAGTCCTCGAAGTGCTTGCTGCCGTTGTGCAGGATGTCCTCGAACTGGATGATGCAGTTGGCCACGAAGTCGTCGTAGCCGATGGGTGCGTCGTGGAAGACGGAGAGCTCGATCTTGCGGCCGTCGTGGACCTCCGTGGTGAACTCATCATTCCACGCTGGGCTGTTGGTCTTCTGCTTGGTGGAGGTCTGGCCCACACGGGAGTCGTCCACGTTCAGGGCGATGTACGTGTCCAGGAGGAAGGTTTGCGTCTTTGGGCCGACGGCGTGACGCAGGGACCAGGCAGTCGGTTTGAGGTCCACAGCCTCGCAGATCCTGATCTTCAGCTGCCCGTTGAAGACCACCATGACGGTGAAACGGTCCCAGCTCTTGACAGTGGTAACCTGTTTGCAGTAAAAACCACCTCACTTCACAAAAACGAGCTCCTCCTGCTGTAACGGTTTCCACCGGTGCCCCTCCTGGCGGACACTCTAACGTTATTCCTTCCAGTTGAGAAAACGCAGCCCTCTCCCGGTCAAACACACCAACTGTGAGCCCGTACTGCCTGAGCTGCTTATGCGTGGCCCTGAAACGTCTACACCTGTCGAATATGCAGCAAAGATTCCCAGAGTATACACAGCAGCAGCAGAAGAGACCCGGCCGTCAACCCGGAGAGCCTTTCATAGAAGCGCACGGAAGAAACATGAAGAGCTACGAGCGAGCACAGGCCCCAGATGTGAGTCCGCTTGTCATGGTTTATCTCCTGAAGGCATCAGAAGACTCTGTTAGCTGCAGAAGGGCTCCGTGGAAGCACTATCCTGCGCTGCATCGCACCGTGTGGTGGATGGCAGGCTCCAGATGCCCCTGGCAGC